GCCGCGGTAGCCGTGTGGTTGGCTGTGCATACTACCATTCGGAAGACCAAGGTTCAATCCTGGTTTGACCAACATCCAAAAGTTTTAGAAAATTAAGTTAAATGTTCTAATTGCGGTCGACCTTAGGCAGGGAATGTCAACCCCTCAGAGTGTATTTCTAGCATGAACTGAGGGCTCCTCATTAAGAGCCAACAGCTGTTCGGAAGTTCAGCTCATATAAAAAGAATGCCCCTCCATTTGTTGGAAAAGCTTCCAGGCGCAAAACCACAAATTATACGTAAAAATTCAATACGATTTCCACATGAATGTAGGCGGCAAAATCTTCAATCAATTTAATTTCAGCAGATTTCCTCGTAAAAGTAAGCAGCAAAATTTTCAAATTAGAGCGAACTACATTTTCAATACGACTTTCACCTAAATGTAGGCAACAAAGTTTTCGAAGAAGCTATAACTTTATTTTCAATACGGTTTCCTGAGAAATGAAGTCATCAAAATCATAGCGGAAGGGCTAAATGAAGCCAAAAAAATTTTTGGGAGCAGTGAAAATTATTTCTAATAGTAATTCCAGCTTCACGGAGTCAGAAAATTCTTCAAAGATTTTTCTTTGTTCTTGAAATGGAGATACTCAGAGCTACAGAGTTTGTGAAAATACGTATTTCCAAATTTCTTTTTCGAAAAAACCATAATTTCATCGTTCCTTATTTAATACGCTTTCAAGTGGTATTTTAACAATTTTTCGTTGGATTTCGTTACTTGCATTTCTATTCAGTTTGAACACTGTGCTGCGCCAAAGGCATTTATATAGTCTATGCGCTCTGCGCCCACTCTTCATTGCCTACAGCGACAAAGGCTTTGTGTGTATTCGTGTTGGCGACCCTTATAAAATTTTCTTCCTCTTCGTATTCTACCAATTATTGTACGTGTACTTGTGTGTAATTGAACATTTGCAACAACATAGCCACTTGAGTTGATTTCTTTTCTAACCCTTTAATACAAAACCGTTACTCCTCTCTGTGTTTGACTTTATTGCAATTTTCATTCTTTCAATTGGCCGAAACAGTTAAAGGTGTGCACAGCGATTGCTTAATGTGATTACGAAGAACTAAAGCAGCATGTATATATGTAAGAAACGAGTAAAAAGTACTGTTACACGGCTTATGCAAAGCCACACCCTTACTTTCGTGTGCCGGTCGGCTGCTGAAAGTTTTTCGGGTGTTGCCACAACGCGATCGCATCTAGATCTGATCTCTAAAAGGTTTTCTCATTTCACTTCCTTTTGTTATTTCGTTTTGATTGTAAGTAAACTTCGATGCACACGGGTTTTCTATTTTGCCGCGGGGTGCAATCAACACCCCGAACATATGTGTGTTGATATTTCCTGCGATTGCAATCTTTGAAGGGATCGCTATGATTAACAGTTGGCTTCTGTAGCTAACGATGCACACATAAAAAAATTATACTCTGAAGCTAACAGAGAGAAAACATTCTATGGTAAAGATAGCTTCAGGTTCAAAAGGCAATAATTGTGCGCTGTCTATCTTCGATGATTGTCCGGACGTTCCAATACCGCACTTTGAAGAAGTTCGGATAGCTTCAGGTTCAAAAGGCAATAACTGTGCGGCGGCATGCACCAAATTTTGTGCGAAATACAGTCCGTTGAAAACATACTCCACTGTTTGCGCCACCTACTGTTGGGCAAGCCTCCAAAATAACGCATATAAGGTCCTGTCGAAAGTATTGTTTGAAATACGAAAGAACGCCGTCTACAAGGTGATTGGATTTTATCAGTATGAATTTAGTAAATCCACCAGATATTCACCTTGCGCCATATCTTGGAAAAGGCCCGAAAAGGAGAGTCGACACACACCATCTCTTAGTCAATTTCAAAGCAGGCTGCCTCTATTCCATTTTTTCTGAATTTGGTATCCCCATGTACGTCAAGCAACATCAAAAGCTTCATCAGGATATTAGATTTACCTCTGTCTATCTTGAAGCCATGCTCAACACCAAACATCAATACCAGCTTGGAAATCCAACACAGAATCACCCTTGCCAACAGGTGCTATTTTGGGCTGAGTAGGCAATTGAAAAGTCGACGAACGAAAACCAAACATTACAAGTTCCTCTATATGGTGCAGAGGAATGGACGATGACAACGTATGATGAGTCGGCGCTAAAATTTTTCGAGAAAAAGGTTTTGCGTGAGATATATGGTTCTCTACAAATTGGGAATGGCGAATTCAGAACTCAGGCTTTGAAAGTTCTCGATGCAGTATCCGCCGACGGAAGCAGAGGATGAAAACGATCTCCACTCTATAGGAAAGACCAGGTAGAGAAGGAGCTGGCTGTCATTGGTACTTCCAATTGGAACCAAACTGCGAGAGGAATGAATGAATGGCACACTGGTATTAACTCGGATGTATTCGTGTAAGTGGTTAACCTGCTTCTGGGTTCAAGTGAAAAAATGAATAAAGCAGAATTAGCTAAGCCCATATTTAGCAAACTTTTCTTCCAACCAAATTCTTTTGTTACCGAATCAGAGCAGGAATTGCCTTAATTATTGTCATCGGAGAAAATGAGATGGTTTTTTATAAAAAAAATTGTGTTATTAAAATAATTAATTTAAATAAATGTTGTAATAAAATTAAATAAAAATGGGAAAAATAGTTGCAATTAATAGTTATAATTATGAATGGATAAGCCATCATGCTTTTTGAAAGGACCCAAGGATGCTTTAGAAAGCCATGAAAAATAGATGTACGGAGACTCTCGGAATATTTAAAATTCATTAAGTAATTAATATAATGGCTCTCATGTGTTTCACAGTTGGTTTGCTCCGTCAAAGAGAATTAATAAATTTTCATTAATTAAATAAAATAATTGTAAAAATAATTGGATATAATTTACATAAGAAATAAAAATGTTAATTTATTTATGAAGAATATGTGAGAAATATAAATATTTTCAATAATTTTTGAAATACAGGCAAGCCTCCTCAAAATGAATGAAAATGCTTTCTGAATGTGTATAGAGAGAGCAGAAATAAAAAAACTTACTCATAGCCAACTGGAAAGAAAGAAATCGTGCAGCCAACCGCAAATTGGGAATCGTTGCGGAGATTTTGAGCTCCAGCAAAAGTATAGTAAAACCTATGCCAACAGCTCTAGGTTATTTCAAACAAACGTGGACGCCGATTCTTTATGCACAGAAGCTATAGAATACAATACAATCAAGACATGGAATGTCTCGAATTTGCTAAGGAAATGTGTTGGAAAACTAAATGAAGAGAGAACTGAATTGGAGACAAACTTGTCATCATAGCCCTTTCGCTATGAGCTATGAGCCCGCATACTATTGGGTTGTCCCAAGAGACGTCGTTGACAATTTTTTTGAACAGCTTGTAACTATTTAATTGTATATTTTTTTGTCACTTTTGGCTTGCTTTGGAAAAAAGTAGGCATAATTTGTTTATATTTGTTTGTTTGCCGTCAATTTCAATACAGAGCCCATCAGAGAACATTATCGCCATATTTTATTATTTATTATTTCCTTAAAGGGAAAAATGTTGCTAAAAAGATGCTTAATTTGTATGATAATAAGGCCTTAGAAGAAGCACAGTGTCGAAGTTGGTTTGTCAGATTCCGTTCGGCAGAATTTTCCCTCAAGGATAATCCACATTCAGGTCGGCCAAATGAAGTTGATGATGACGATATCATGGCTTTAATCGAATCGGATCGTCACGTAGCTAAGCGTGAGTTTGGAGAGAAGTTAAGTATATCAAAATCAACCTTTCATAATCATAAACAGCGTCTTGGACTGTTAAAAAAACTTGATATTTGGGTACCACATGAATTAAAAGAAATTCATTTAACAAGCATTTTTTGAAGCAAATCATAACTGGCCATGAAAAAAGGATTGTTTACAATAACGTCACTTGAAAACGATCATGGTCCAAGCATGATGTTGCGCCACAAACCACTTTAAATACTGATATTCACCAAAAGAAGATTATGCTGTCAGTTTGGTGGGATTGGAAGGGTGTGGCATACTTTGAGCTGATTCCGAGAAACGAAACGATCAATTCGGATGTCTATTGTGAACAACTGGACAAATATGTTGCCAGAATGTTGGCGAAATGTCATCTAACAAAATGGAAATTGCATAATTTATTAAAGTTCATTATAAAATTGAAAAAAAAATGTATTTACATTCTTCTAAAAACTCGCCAGTTTATTTTGGGGCAACCAATATTAAAGAAAAACTAAGAACTGAGGAAAGGAAAAAAAATACAATGACATGAAAAAAAGACAACCTAAACATTTTACGAATGGCAAAAATATTAGACGATTCAAAGAAAACACTTAATAAAAAATTACTGAAGAATATGTTTTAATTTATTCTTCTTTCCTGACATTGACCACGCTTACCCGATTATAGCCGAGTTAATAACAACGCGCAATTCATTCCTCCTTTTCGCGCTTTGGCTTCAATTGAAAGTACCAAGTACAGCCATCCATTCGGAACACAAGCCCCGGTTGACGCAGCAGCTTTCTCGATCAGCTTATCGTTCCAGCTGCTTTATTATCGGTGGTCAACGCTCAGATTTAAAATGTCAGCCTATTTAGGAGACTTTCTCGGTCTTCCAAACTAAACTGGTGTTTCCTCTGTGGTGTCAAAATGGGCTCGTTGGGTGGCCTAAGTGATCTTATGCCCGAAAACCATTTCAACCAACCAACCAACCAAGGGTCTTAGGAATGTACCATTTAAAAGGATACGAATCAGAGGTCACAATAACCTAATGGTTTCGTTTAAGAAGTTCTCAAAAGAGAAATAACTCAAATTACTTCTTTGGTTTTATTTTATTAGTTCGAAGAAAGAAATAAGAAACAAACTCTGTAACGTGGTTTTCCATCTTTCACTATAAAGACATTTCACTGTATCCCACAACTAGCTATTGTGGCTATAAAAGTGCGCTTAACCTCATTTCCCTGTCACAATTGAAAATATGGCACTCCAGGCAGGCAGAGGCGGTGAACCAAAGCTCCGCTCTATTGATGATCTCTGCGCCATTTTGCATCCCATACAACGGTATCTAAGCATTAACTTCTTGGACTTCACACGTATCAATGGGCGTTTTGCAATACCAAGCTCGATGTTGCTGAATGTCGGCATCGTACTATCAGTTTTGGACTGCATGGGTAATATAACGAAGGTCTGCATGGCGATCAACGACAGAGATCTCACCAAAGCACAAGAAACCTTCGCCGTCTTGGGGATGGCATTTGTGATGACGATGCGTGGCATGATGTTGGCGCGAAGTCGAGTGAGGTTATCTGAGCTTTACAACAGTATCGATCGCATATTTCCAAATAGCTCTGAGCTTCAGACGCACATGGAGGTGGCAAAGACGCACGATTATATAAAAAGACGGTTTTTCTTACTACACCAAGGACTTTCCTTCGCTCTAGTTCTATTTTGCACAATGCCAGCTGTTAAGCTAGTTTTTTTCTACGATTTCGAGGCGCAAGAACCTGTTGCAGATGAATTTCATGTGAATCCTTCTTGGGTGCCATTTCAAGTGAAGGAAACGATCTCCTCCTACGGCTACATATATGTCTATGAAGTGATCTTGGCCTTGGTGGCGGTCAATATGATAATTACCTGGGATGAAGTCTTTGTTGTGCTCATATCACAGTTATGTATGTATTATCAGTACTTGGCGAAACTTTTGACAGCACTGGATGTACGCGAAGCGAATGATCCGAAGAAAGCCGTAGCGTTCTTCAAGCGGTTGCATCTTTACATATATATTCACCAGTATTTGAACAGGTTTGTGGCAGCAGAAACTCGAGGCAATGACTACAGTTTATATAAGCTGTTCTTTTCTTTCTTCACTTCGTTTCTAGTCTCGCTGACGAATTGAACGATTTGTTTAATCTATCAATTTTAGTTTCGGATATGGGCACCGCGATGTCCATATGTTTCAACTTATTTCTAGTAACTGGCGCTAAGGACTATTTACAGATTCCCTCCTATCTTACACCGTGCTTTGTGGAAACTTGGCTGATTTATGATGTCTCCAAATGGGGCACGATGCTGGAGACTGTCGTGAGTAGCCCATCAAATGAGTTATATTAGGTTTATATGTATATACTACATCGGCGTGAACAAGCAGTTACAGCAATAAAGAAATCACATGATACTGAGTCACCTTGTCTAAAATATCGTTTGGTGTCCAACAGCTGAGGGAGGTACTTTCCGATCCTGTCTTAGCTGTTAGTGTTATCATGAACAAGAACGTCAGACCGAACAAAGCAGCGCGGCGTATGTGAGTAGTAAGGAACGAGGGCAATACGAAATATCTCCTGTCACCAAACAAGCCGCCATCGCTTTCCCACAATACCGGTGACAGTCATTACATTGAAGGCGTAAATAACTTCGACGATCTTGGAACCAGCATTAACATCAACCACAATGCCAGCCTTGAAATCCAACGCAGATGTTTTCCATGAAGTAACCGCCGGTGGAAATAGATAATGAGGAAGACCTGACTGTGGTATTTTCAATTAAAGCCAAACAGCAGTCTTCACTCAGTGCACCTTGAATCTACCTCTTTAACAATTTTTAACTGTAGGGTTAATCACAGTTTGAGCTTAGTCTCTTCACTATCGAAGCTGAGACTATAAATTTTATGGCAGCTTCTAAGAATTTCGTATGCAGTTTTGAAGTTTTTTTTTCATTCTTCTCGACATCTTTACAGACTGCTCGAATTAATGAAGTTTTGTATGAGCAAAAATGGTACGACAGCTCAGTTCGTTTTGGAAAATATACCACAATGTGGTTGCAAGGTACAAATGAGCCGATCAGACTGACGGCTTACCATATATTCGATGTCAACATGAAACACTTTCAGGATGTGAGTTCATTAACAAGCCGTTTTTTTTTAATTTACTGAAAACTCCTTTTTTCGGATTCTTTCAGATGATGATGTTGGCTTATCAAATGCTAACCTTCATGAAATCGAAGAGTTAAACTATGAAATTTTTGTTAGAAGAAATGGGAGGAGAAGAGATAATAAGAGATGTTGGCGCCTAAAACATACTTCGATGCTTTAAGTTTTGGGGTTACTGACTTGGACATTTTCTGAATAAATAAAAAAATTTTTTTTCTGAGCACCGTCTGTTACCCATTCATTATGGTTTTTAAAAAAGTTTACGGAATTTGGAAAAATTAGGAGTTCCAATTAGTGTGTTGGTCTTCACTATAAGTGCTAATTTTAATAACATTTTTGAATAACGCAATTCGTGTTTTAGATTAAAATTGAGTTATCAGGTATTTTGTATTATTTAGTTGTAGTCACCAGGAATGTGCGTGGTCTGCCATTATCCTGATGAAACTCAATATCCCTCCAGTTGCCGCTTCTGAGCTTCTTTCGGACAGTCCAATTGCTAACAATACAGTTCCGAATTAAAGTTTAGCTGGTGAATGACTCCTCGCTGATCGCACCAAACCTTCCTGGCCATCAATCCTTCCTTGGAGACTATTTCTGCCGGCTCACTGCTCTTAAACCACGGCGGTTTTCCTTCCAAGATTTCATCACCAGTCAACATCCGCTTTAAAAATGGGAGGGTTTTTTTCGCGAATCATGTGATACCCAAACATCAAACGTCTTTTTGTATCCAGCATTTTTCAAGTGGTTCCAAGCTGTTTTAGCGCAATATTTAGATCCTGCTCGCATGACGGTCAAACTCGACGATTTCCTTTATTCAATCGATATTTTCAACAATTGGACTTGCCCCATCGTGGATGATCTTTTACTCCTACAGCAAAAATATCAGAACGAAATCGGTGAAACCAAAATTGTGCATGTTTGACTGTTACAGTATCAGAACCTTAAACATTATTCACATTTTCAGCAGCATGACTTACTTTATCGAAGAAAAATTGTTGAATTCTTGACTTGAGCTCATCTTTTTTCCTGCCCAATCCAATCACACTTATTCTATTCCGAAAATAATGGAATTCGTTTTACTAATATGTAGAATGAATTGTGTAGAAAAAATATTTGATAACAAACGTTTTTGTTAACTTTCACAAACCGCGAGCTCTGCGATAATTAAATATATTCTTCATTCAACACTTTCAAAAATATTTCCAAAACCTTTCTGAATTCACAACCCCTGCAAACCGCTTCGCAATCGAGTTTACTACCATAAAATGTACATAATTAACTATGTATACTATCGTAGAGACTCTTAAAGCTGGTCAATTTTTAGCTTTCATTGTATTGCTTTGGCTTGGATTGATGAGCAGCTCTTTGACTACTTTGGCTCTTTGCCTGTTACGGACCAAACGAAATTGAAAACAAGTCACGTATTTGATTAAACATGGCCGCAGTCATGTTAGACAGCGAATTGAATTTCCGCTCAACATCATCATCAACTGCAGTGACCAACAACAGCAACAATAACAACAGTAGGGGCGATGCAGTTACAGGAGCCATAAACGCCAACAACACATCTTTAGTCTAATCGACATGAAGACGTCAAATATGTATGAATGAAGAATGTATTTGCGCGGGTTTCCCTTCTGCAGTGTCAATATGTGTGTGTGTGTGTGTGTGTGTGTGTGTGTTGGTGTAAAAATGTATATGTGCCGTGCAGAATGTTGATGGAGTTCAGCATCCGCCTGGACTTATACTCAACCGTCACATGAATGGTTTAATTGAGGTTATTATATTTATATGCCTACCGACAGGTACTCACACACACACACACACAAGCACATACATACGCGCACACGCAAATCAAATAGAAATGTATTCATATTCGTGTTGTAAATAAATATTACAAGCAGCTTAGCGCGACTATGAAAAGAAGAAGAGATTATAATATTATTAATTTATATTTTACATACATTTTGGCCCGGCATATAATTTTTATCACTTCGCGACACGAAAATTAATTTCATTTTTTAAGTTGGTGTAGATTAAACGGATAGCGCTGGATGCTCCGCCTGCGGTTCTTAGTATTTATTTATTTATTTATTTAAAATATAATTATAAATAATTACATTACAAGATTAACGCAGCTAGCAACTGAGGCTATCGGCCTGATTTGCGGTTCTTAAATCGATAATAAACTCTTTGCAACTCAAAACTTGTGTTGTGGAATGAGTGTCGGGAAAATTATAGCCGTAAATAACATTACCGATTCATAAGACAGTTTTCATGAAGCTGAAACATATTGGTATAGCAGCAATGCAATGATAATTAAAATATGGATTTATTTTAAGAGTATGATAATTCAGAAGCAAAAACATTCCAGCGATAAGCTCGCAGACGGCAAAGTCTACACTCGAAATCAATATACATTCGCACATGTCTATATTCACAATGGAGTCTCAATTTAAGACTGAAAAGTTTATAGCATTACAACAGACACACCCCCTCACACCTAAAGTTTTGCGGTTAGACTTATGCGAACCGAATCCGCCCTTAAACATGAAAAAGGTATCTAACTATTATAAAAAAGAATTCTAAAGAATAGTGCAAAAAACTAGTACAGGGAATTAATGCAAGTGTGCATTTATTCTAAGGTATTATACATTATACATACATATCCATACATACATATGAAATATGTATCAATATCAAAATAAGACAGTGCCGATCAAGTCAAAAAGAACTTGAAAAATAACAAAAAATACAACAAAGCAAACTAAAAAGATCAAATCAAATAAATAAAAACTTTTAATAAAATCAAGTTAAATTAAACTAATTTAAATAAAACAATATAAAGTAAAATTAAATTAAATTAAATAAAAATGAAAATAAAAGTAAAATTGAAATAAATATAAAAATGAAATTAAACTAAAATAAAGTCATATAATAAAATGAAATAAATTAGAATTGGAAAAAAGACATTAAAATAAAATATAATTATAATTAATTTAGTAAGAACTAGTAATAAATTACATATAAAAGTTAAGTAAAATGAAATTAAATAAACAATGAAAATGAAATAAAATAAACAAGTTAAAAACAAATAAAATTAAGCAGACTTAATAAACTAAAACACTTTTAAATTTAATTAAATAATATAAAATCAAAAAAAAATTAATAAAATAAACGAACTGAAACAAAGCTTATTATATTAAACTAAATTTTGTTAAATAAAATGAAATAAAATAAAATATATTAAAATTAAATTAAATATGCTAAAATAAATTCAAATAAAATAAAATACGACGAATTGAAATATTATATATTTATCCAAAATTAAATTAAATATAATGATATGAAACATAATAAATAAATAAATTATAATATAATAAAAAAATTAACAAAACTAAATTAAATCAAATTAAATAAAAAAACAGAATAAAATGAAACCAAATAAAAGCAGTTAATTTGAGATAAAATCAACGTAATATAATAAGTAATAAAATAAATAAAATTATAAAAAATTAATTGAAATAAAATAAAGAAGATAAAATCAAATATGACGATGTATACTAAAAGGACGAGTGGTTAGCATTGCGTTAGCTCAAATCCCGATGCGACCAACATTCAAAATTTATCGAAAATTACTTTAATTAAAAAATTAAGCTAAACTTTCTTATTACGGTCGCTTTTCGGCGGGGAGTAATCACCACGCCGAGTGTATTTCGGACAGGAAATAAAGGCTCCTTGTAAAAAGGCCATCAGCCGTTTGAAGGCGGTCCCTCCCCACATTGAAAGAGGAGCTCGGCCGAAAAAAACAAATTTAAATTAAATGCAATTAATGTAAGTTAATAAAAAAAGTAAAATAAAATAAATAATTAAGATAAAATACATCAAAGTGAAATAAATTTAAAATAAAATAATATAATGTAAAACAAGATTAATATAAATAAAACAAACTAACATAAAAATAAATGAATAAAACGAAATTAAGTAAAATAAAATAAAATAAAATAAAATAAAGTAATATAAAATACTGAGATCAGCATTTTGAATTATGACTCCTACCTTATAACTTGTTGCCATTTAAATGACCACAACTGTGTTTTAGCTAGAAAATACACACATGTACAAACGTATGTGCAAAACCAAAAATAAAAAATTCATGGTACACCGCAAGTGTGCATGTTTCCATAAAAATACACACTCCATGCAACCGACGTTGGTTGGCTACGACTACCTCATGGTGCACCAGCAACATACGGCTTATGGCAACAAAAAAAATGAAATAACACGCAGAGTAAAAAAAAAAATTAAGCTGCGAAAAAATGTGAAACAGAAAAATGAAATAAAGAGTTAAAAAATAAAAAAAAGAAAATATCATATAACGCGACCACATATGAGTGCCACAAACATAGCTATACAAGCATATATGTACGCATCTACATATATATAAATATAAATATGAATATACATATAGAAATATTGGTTAGATATATCTACATAAATATACATACATAAATATGTATTGTAGGTACAGTATGCAGTGTATGTGTGCGCATGTATTGTGGCTAGCCGCCATATTTAATAATACGCCATCGTTCATGCACATTCTTATTTTTCTTTTTTAATATTCCTGCATTTTTTTCACATTCGTAGTGTTTTTTTTTTAATTTTATATACGTATATATAGCATATATTTTTTTTTTGCGTTAGCCAGGCACTTGCTCTTAACAGGTCAACGCCGACTTATTGAGGGCTTGTTAAAAATGTAGCAAAAAGTAGTAGTGCTGGCGCGTTTCTATTGTGGAGTGGAAGGAACAGTGGTGTAGTTTCAAATACAAAAAAAGGTTTGCAAAGCTTCCTGGGTGAGAGGAATTATGAATATCGTAGCAAAGTGGGCAAATAATAGCAGGGGAAATATTTTGT